GAACAATGGTTCTCGCCATCGACTGATGGGAGAACGTCGAGAGATAACTGAACGATATTTCCACAAGCGCAGCGTTGAACGTTGCTTAAACGCTGAGTTAAACGTTCATCCGGCACGTCAATAACGACGGAGTGCGGATAACCGTTCGCGTTCGTGAGCCTCGAATATTGCAAGTCCCGGTAATCTGGAAGTTCCTGACCGACGTCTAGACGTTCATGAGACGACGAAGCATCGTCGTCGTCAACGTCGGTGCCTAGAATGGGCTTGGATTGTGACGCAGAGAGTGACGAGAGACGTTGATGGAAGACCCACGGAGGAGGGTTCTTGGACTGACGTACGACGTTGCCTGCTCGATGCGTCTCCGAGTAGTGACGTATCAGACGCTCAGAGTATTCGGTGGCCACTTCCACTGCACGACGTAAATTAATTAATTTCTGAGCTGATCTTTAGATCAAACTTGACAATCCTATTCGTCTGCCACCATCATATTCGTCATATGCGTGCCAGCTATACCTATATTCTTCTACTAGAATACTACCTATATGCGTGCCAGCTATATACGTCTACTACAATCATATATGCGAGCCAGCCGGACCTATATTCGTCTTCTACAATACTATATGCGTGCCAGCTATATATTTGACTATTCATAGCACACAGGCATCAAAGACACGTTAAAAGGCTCAAGGCCGGTCTAAGGGCCCACAAGGCACGTGTTTAAACCTACACAAGAAGTCCGCAGGGTTGTAGTTCGGCTGGATTGGTAGGCCCAGCTGGGCCATGTATGGGGCCACGTCCCCGCTGGGGCCAAGATACGCGGGCTGCAAGGATGATATGTCGTCAGGCTTTTAATTTGTAGTATGAAAAGTGTATGGTAACATAGATGGTATGATAAAATTATATGATAATGAAGATGATATGATAATAATGATGATATGATAACAAAGAGGATATGAATAAAAATGATATGATAAAAAGATGATATGATAATAGAGATGATATGATAATAGAGATGATATGATAACAAAGAGGATATGATAATAGAGATGATATGATAACAAAGACACTATGATAACAAAGATATATACGTCACAAAATCATGGAAATATTGACCTGTCCCTTGGCCAGCAGCAGGACGGTGTCCAACATATGGAAGATCCTGGAGGAGGGCTGGTGGAGGGACAGCACCACGGCGCGCCCTTCCTGCACCGCCAGCGCCTTCAGGTTAGCGATGAGGGAGTGGGCCGCGTGGGCGTCCAGCCCTGAGGTGGGCTCCTGAGGGAGGGAGTGGGTGCTGAGGGAGGTAGTGGGTGCTGAGGGAGTGAGTGCTGAGGAGGTAACACATCAAACACTGCCCATCAATCATCTAAAACTGATCACTATCCTTTTCAAGCGAGTTTAACGATGATATTAAGAATGATGCATGTCAAATGTAGATAAATATTACAGAAGTAAGATATCGAAGATATCTTACAGCAGNTTTTAAATAAAAGATAACGGCCGGCAATAAACACATTAAAATATAATATAATGGCCGGCAATAAAAAGTTTAAAATAAAAGATAATGGCCGGCAATAAACAGTTTAAAATGAAAGATAACGGCCGCCAATAAACACATTAAAATATAAGATGATGGCCGGCAATGAACAGTAAAAAAAGATAATGGCCGGCAATGAACTGCTTTAAATTAAAGATAATGGTCGGTAATGAGGGCGGCAATAAAGAGACTATGCGATAAATGGGTGGTAAGAGAAATGGGCAATAATTACAGACAATTAAGAGACTGCAATGAATGATAATGGCGCGTCCTATATCAGAGGGTAATGTCACGGTAGGACGGCAGGACTGACTGGTGTCTTGGCAGTGCTGCAGGCCGAGCAGGTCGATGACGGCGTCCACGGCGGCCACCTTCTGCGCCTGCGACATCGCGTGGGGCAGCCTCAGCTCCGCCGTGAACTGCACCACAAATAATTAATTAATGTACTATGTTATTCTGGCTAGCACAGTACTAAGTATGGATAATGATGGAGACAAATGGTATAATAAATGATTTGTTAAACAAAGCTTAATAAAAAATCAGCACGTACATACATATTATACGTACTAATTTTTTTGAACTGCCCGACAAATGTACACTGTTATATTCGGTAGCAGATTATTAGTATGGATAATGATGAAAACAAATAATATTTATGCGGTAGCACAGATTACTAGTATGGATAATGATGAAAACAAATGGCAAAAACAACCAGCACTCTAATATTGAAATAAAAGATCAAATAGATAATTAAATGTAAGGGATGCAGTTATAAGCGTTATGGGTGAAACCAGAAAAAATGACAGGAGAATATAGGTATATAATAAATGATATAAATCTCGCACCTGGAGCATTTGGCGCTGATAAAGTGAAAGATCAGGAGAATTATCTCGCACCTGGAGCATTTGGCGCAGACGGAGGTGTGGGTGGAAGAGGTCGTGTTGGGTGGAGTACCCCACGAGGTGTCGCAGCTTACGAGACAGCGGCCGCTCCCCCAGCCATACGGAGCCCTCGCACCGCACTCGGCCGCTCAGAGCGTTCAGCAAGGTTGTCTTTCCCGAGCCTTAACATTTACCCATATATTCTTAATTTAGAAGAAATTGATTAATTTTCGACTTGTTTATTTATGTACTGGGCAGTGGAGTTAGCTTTTTACAAAATTCCTCGTTTGTTGCGACGATTTTCAAAAGAATATTTTTCTTGAAAGAAAACTCGTTTGGGAGGTTGCAAATGGACCTTTACAATGTTTCTTGAAATACCATGTACATTAAACACCAAATATAGAAACACAATTTAAACGTTAAAATTAACGTACCTCAGAGGTACCAAACTTTAAGTTTCTCAGATACATAGTCAAGGTGGAGATGGGCATCGTCCCTTAGAATAAGGGTACGATTAAACCGTACTCGTGCATGTATCAAAAATGCAATTTACAGTCAGTAATTCATATTCAAAGTCCGGAAATATATCTTTTATTTTGAACATTTAATTTGAAATGAAGAAAAAGACATTAGTCTGCCGTACCAACAAATTACAAAGAGTATATATACACATATAGAAGCTACAGGTGGCATTCAATATCTAACTTTTCTAATATTTATACCTATTTATCGGAATTTTTCAGCGCATTCATAATGCTATATTTTGATGGTCTCACCGGAAGGTCCCATAACGGCGAAGATGTGTCCCGGATCACAGTGTCCCGACACCTCCGACACAAGTGTCTTGCCCGCCACGCT